ATTGGCTGAGAAAAAGAACCTGTCCATTAGATAGTAACCATCCTCGAGCCAGGGCCAGAAATAAGGTTAACATCCCAGGCATTGTGCAGGGGCTACTGGCTGCTGAAGTCATCATGCACCTGTGCTTGCCGGGGGGTGGGTCCCACTCAGCAGGCCAGGCCTGCCTATTGGGTGCGGGTTTGCCACCGGCTCTTGTTCTGCTTGGAGGCTTCTCAGGACCGCAGAAGCCAGAATGTGTGGACTGCCGATTGGTTATGTCTGGCAGGACCACCATCGCCTCATTGAACATCTCTCCAAGCAGATCTCAGCAGCTTTTGTAGAGATCATCCCCTACCTACACTCCCTCAAATGGCTCTTCAACTTGCTGAAGTGGGCCTCTTCACTCTGCAAGAAGTCCATGATGGACTGGATAAGTTAGTTTCCTCTCCCAGAAATTCTCGGGAATTAGGTAGGCTCGTGGTGTGGGTGTCAGCTGGGGTATTTTCATGGAGGTGTGTGGTGGGGTGCAAGGGATACAGGCTGGGTGGGGGCTGGGCAGGAGACTAGAGAAGCCAGGGAGGGCATAGCGTGCTGACAGGAGATACCAGGCCTGGTGAGGGCTGGGGCAGGGCGGGTGATGTGTCTGTTAGGAGCGCCAAGGTGTTGAAGCCTGGGGGAAGAGGCATCCTCCACCTGCAAGGGCCTCGGAGTACTGGGAAGTCTTCCTGGGCTATAGGACAGGGGACGAGTCCCAGGGGCCTTCGGAGCCCTGGGGGTTCCTTGAGGGTGCTCTGTGCCAGAGCTACCCCCTCTGAGTGTCCATTGAGGATGGTGGGGCTTCTGGAATTTCAGTTTTGCTCAACGGGGCTTTCAGGGACCTGCCCAACCCCAGGGATCTGTGTTATAGGGTCAAGGGGATGATATGGCCCCAGGCTGCTCAGAGACCACCGTCTACTTGACGACCTTAGTGGAGCTCTGGTGTCAGTAAGGGAGAGACAGCCATTGAGGTACACTCGGCAGCTTCTCCACGGTGAGGCCACCACGCTCCTCATCCACTGGGGGCTAGGGCACCCTTCTGGCACTCCTACTCCCCTTCGCTGCCCCTGGGGTGGGTGAGTTCCCTTTCTTGCTGTGACTCCTGCCCTTAGCTCAGATGGGGCTGCAGGGGGCATTGCTGGGCTTGGGCGTTGAGGAACCCAAGAGAGGGAAGTCCTCCTGCTAGAAGGTGTTCCTGGCTCATGTAGGGCCAAGATAGGTAGGCCAGTGCGTCCCACAGAACCTGGGATGGCCTCTGTCCAGCAGGAGGAAGTGGAGGCACAGAGACCTGGACGTCTTTAACCTTGAGCTTGGGAGTAGGAGGTGGAAGGGTATTTGGGGAGCAGCAGCCACTGGGCCTGGACATGTGGCTGAGAAGGTTTCTTGACTTACAGGACCATTTGTTGAAGTTTCCTTGGGGCCTGGGCATTCTCTCTGAGCCTGGAGCAGACACTGGGGTCCTCAGGATCTCCGCTTGGACTTGCCATTTTCCTTCCGGTCCCTACTCCTGCAAGCTTCCTCTCGCTATTGAGCAGCCACAGAGGCCCTCATGGCAACTCCTACAACTTGGTCCCCTTCTCATGTGCCTCCAGCATCTGCAGCAGCCCGCCTCACAGGAAGTACTTCTCCTGGAAGTGCCCTCTCAGTTACACACGACCACAGTCCCGGTTCCCATTGGAGTTGCGGAAGTGGCAGGAGTAGTGGTCCCAGCACCAGTACTTGAACAGCTCATTATTTTCCAAGTAACACTCCTCACAGAAGTTACATAGGGAATTTGCCCAGTGGAATGGGCTCTCAGAGTCATCTCGAATGCAGTGCTGAGTCAGGTCCTTGCTAGAAAGCTACTTCACTCATGGGAGAAGATCTGGAGTTGCTTAAGGTACAGTTTGTGGCAGATCTCGACAGTTGTAGCACATGCTGCTCCAAGTCCCAGAAGAGTCCAAAGGGATAGCAGGGGTCACTGTGGGCAGCAGGGGGAGCCGTGGGCATGTGTGCTGCAGCAGCTGCCTGTAGAATACTAACAGCTTTCCAGATGCATTGTTTCCTCTCATGCTAAGGCGGAGGGATGGGGATCGTGCCAAAGGCAGGGGCTTCTTCCCAAAGACCACCTGGAGTGGCTCCTCCCGGCAGAGTCGAGTGCTCATAGAGCACCCACATCTTAGTGAAGCAGGGATAGCATGCTGGGTGATTGCAGTGGTCCAGCACCTGGCCCCCAGGTCCCTGAGCATGCCAGCTGCCCCTTGGTTCTCACTAACACCAGCTACCGAGACCTAGCTCCTGCACCCTTGGATTGGCTTTTTATGGAGAAGCATTGATCAAATGAGGGATTTGAAGAGGCAAATGGAGGCTATTGGTAGGGTAACTGATCTGATGACAGGGACTTGGCTCATTTGGGTATAGGTATAAAAAGAAATTCATACAAGATATCTCTACATGTGTGTGCTTCAGAAAAGAAGCTCCTAGAGGACATGGTAGTAGAGGAACCAGGAGAATGTAGAGAAGAAACAGAAAGAAAGAAAAAGAAAGAAGGAAAGAAAGAAAGAAAGAAAGAAAGAAAGAAAGAAAGAAAGAAAGAAAGAGGGG